GCAACCCTCATTGCATACTCCTACGATAAAAATAATGCCCTAAAATATAATACTTTTAGACTATTCTCTCCCCCATAGACTTCAATGCCGTAAACATATTCCATCCAGTTTTTCTCAGTCTTACCCCCACCCCAATGCCAGCCTCATTCTACAAACCTTTCCTAATTGTTAACCATGCAGTGTTTCCTTGCTCTGCTCTGACAACTGCCTCCTGGTCCAAGTACAGATTTTGCATGAGCATGCTTAAGTGTTCTGGGATTCCCATTATTTTCAAAGTTTTCCACAATTTGTTCTGATCCACACAGTCAAATGCCTTTTCCTAGTCAAACACAGATAGACAGACATTCCTCTGGTACTCTCTGCTTTCAACCAAGATCCATCTAACATTAGCTATAATACCCCTAGGACTATGGCTTCTTCTAAACCCAGCCTGCACTTCTGGCAGTTCCCTGTTGATTTGTTGTTCCAGTTGTTTTTGAAAAATTTTCAGCAGAATCTTGCTTGCATGTGATATTAATGATATTGTTCAATAATTTCCACATTTTCTTGGGTCACATTTCTTTTGAAGGGAACAAATATGGATCTCCTCCAGTCAGTTGGCCAGGTGGTTGTCCTCCAGATTTCTTGGCACAACTTGATGAGCACATGCAGGGCAATGGTTCTTTGTTGAAATATATCAATTGGTGTGCCCTCTATTCCTGGGGTCTTGCTTTTTGTCAGTTCTTTCAGAGCAGCTTGAACGTCTTCCTTCATCACCACAGGCTCTTGCTCACACGTTATTTCATGAAATTCTTCTGTGTCTGCCAATTCTTTTTTGTACAAGGACTTTGTATTCTCTTTCCATCTTCTTTTAATGCTTCCTGGATCATGTCATATTCTGCCCCAAACATCCATAACTATTGCAATTCGAGGCTTAAATTTGTTCCTCAATTCCTAGAGTCTAAGAAATGCTGAGCAAGTTCCGCTCCTCTGTTTCTCTGACTCCAGCTCTTTGCTTATTTCATTATAATACTTTGTTTTCCCGAGCTGCCCTTTGGAATCTATCCAGCTCCTTAATGTCTTTATTTCTCCCCCCTCTGCTTTGCTTTGGCTTTTTGGCACTCTAGTACAATATTCAGAGACTCTTCTGCCATCAATATTGATCTTGTCTTCCTCTGCTGTCTTTGTAATGACCCCCTCCATTCTTCATGGGTTATATTCCAGGAGAAGAGTATTGATGGACTGCTAGGAGAGCAAACAGGTTCATCCTAGAGAGGGTGAAACCAAGCTGCTCCCCGGAATCAAGAATTCTGAAGCTTTGTCTGACATACTTTGGACATAATGCAAGGAGGGACCAGTCCTTGGAGAAGGACATCATGCTTGGGAGGGTGGAGGAAAATCTCAAGAGAAGGAACTCCTCGATGAGTTGGATTGAGTCAGTGAGAGGGGTGATTGAAGTAGATGTGTCAGAAACAATAAGTTTGACATAGGATAGAGCAGGGTTTAGGGCTGTTGTAGGGTTTAGGGTCGCTATGAGTCATAAACGACTTGATGGCACATAACAACAACATATGTAAATAATAATAGTGATTCAGTATACCCCAAATTTACCTTTGGTGTAAAAATTCTCTTGATCATTGTTAGGAAAGCTTTTGTGAGCAACAGTAAATTAGAAATAATTTATGTTTTGTTGATACAATATTTAGAGATTTTTGTTTATTTCCCTGCTAGGAAAAAGAGTAGGAGCTCTCTTGGTGCAATGAGTAAAGCGTTTAGACGCCAATGGTTGAAATCCACCAGTGACTCCACAGGAGAAAAATGAGGCAAGAATTGTGGTCTTAGAAACCTGAGGGGACAGCTGTACTCTGCCCTATCGGGTCACTATGACTAGAAATCTTGTGTGTTTGCTTCCTGCTTTTTAATGGAAGAAACCCACATGCTTGGAAAATCAACTAAATGAAACTTTGACATCTATCAAGTGGTGACTGACCTTGTGGAGCAGAGTAATCACGTCAAAGTAGGATTATAGTGTGCAACCAGTGTACTTCTTGTAGGCAGGGACGATTGAGATTTTTATCTCATGTAATTTGGGCACATTGTCAAAAAGGTACCAGAAAAAAAGATATCATGCTGGGGAGAAGAGATGAATGAAAGAGAAGAAAGCCCTCTGTCAGGGAGCTCGGTTGACACTGTGACTGTGGCAGTTTGGCTGAAGGCTGTCAGAGATTGTGAAGATGGTGCATTGGAGGGTGAGACTGTTGTTCATAGTGGGATAGGAGTCATGATAAACTCGACCACACTGGAGGATGCGAACTCTCCCGTGAAAGTGCTCTGAAGATAGAACACTGTGGACTTTTGTCAAAGTCTTTGTTCTTCTGAATATCCATTGTTTCAGTTTTGCACTTTGAATTCCAGGCCAAGCATCCCAGAGACCCTCCACAGTAAACCTGCCGCTTTCCCGCTTGAGAACGACCAGCTCCAGCGTCCTCTCTTCTTCTTCCTGTCTGCTGCCGAGAAGTGCAGCTGCTCCATCCGTGTCCAGAGCTGCTTTGGAAATTGCAGAAATTGAACATATTGATGTTCCTGACCCTAACGGGCCCTTCCTAGACAACATGGCTGATCAACAGACCCTGGAGAATTTGCAGAAAGAGTTAAGTCAACTGAGAAGGCGTGCAGGTAATGCTGTCTTTTAAAACAGTATAAAATGGAAAGCAGGACAATTTGTGTTGCCCTCTCTCTGGTCGATTCCAACTCATAGCGCTTCCAAATGTAGACAATGCCAACTCTCTATCTTGTCTCTCATTCCAAGGAAGAGAAATGAATACTCTAAAGGGCCCCCTTTCTCTTTCCTCCTTTACCCATCAACTTTTAAGGGGTTTTGCTTAGATGGTATTCTGAAAGTGTCATACGATGAGTAAACATCATATGAAAATGTCATATGATGGTCTCCAGTCTACATGATATACAGTTAATTTGTGGGGGAAAAGTTCATGTATACAGCACAACAACAATAATAATGACAGTTTTCTTTCCACAAACCCAGTGAGGGGCTTAATCTCTGCAGCTTTTTGAAAACTTGTTGCCAGGGTCTAAGGTTTTGCATGACAAATAATCAGATGATGTAATTGTTTTTTGGGTAACAAACCACTGTTTGAGGAAAAATTTATACTTATGCATTCTATTTAACAGATTTAAGTATACTTGAGCTAACAAATAGTAATCTTATCCTTGGCCATACAAAGGGCTGGTTTTATAACAAAAACATCAGGGGAAATAATCCTCTTATTTTCATCAGAAATCCATTTTGCACAGTTTTGGAGAATATAACTGGGATAAGTTAAAATAAATTTTACTACTCTGAAAATAAGTTATTAACTTTTGATGAGTAACATTTAAAATGCTTCTCTGTTTATATGATAAGTGCACACATTTGAAATATATCACTATAAGGAAGAAAAAAGGATAATTATTTATGAAAAGAAATATATGCTCTAAAATACTTTAATAAAATTACTAAGTAGACATTTATCCAATTCAACAAAAGAAAAATGAAATGAAACTAAAAAAGCAAGTCAGATAAATATATTTTTCACTACAAATTTGCCAAGTTAAATTCTATAAAACTGCTCTTGTTTTAAATAAGAAGCAGTAAAATATTGTCAATTCTTATAGTTCAATAAGATTTTTTTTAATATTACTTTCAAAAGAGAAGGGGGAAAGCTAAAAAACTAGGAAGGGATTTTGCCATTTTTAATTATATTTTGATTTCTGAAAATAGTAATAAAATTTCTAAAATAAAAGAAGGATTTATTTGTTTTATTATTATTTTTAATCACATAATTTTATATAGTATTTCTTACATTGGTTCTAATTAGTCTTATTTTGCTAAGGTTTCCGTTTATTTTCTTTGTTAGTGAGCATACAATGAACTAATGCTTAGTACTAACGTGTTTATTATAACTGGCCAAGGTTAAGCCCTTTATTTTTATTGTTCTCTAGGTGGTTTGAGTATGATGTTCTTGCAAATGTCTCACTTTTGTCTTTAAGGTTTATTGGTATTTTAGTTATATGTATTTAGTGGGTTATATTTCTTCTTCTCTACATTTTGTGAGAATTTCTCTTTTCTATTCTGACCTTTAATATGATGAACTTAGTTATTTATTATAGTTTTCCCACTTACGTTTTGTTTCATTGAGTTAAATTTTCAGACAATCACCCCCTTACCTCCACCTCACTAAAGTTCATGAAAGAAACTGTGGTAGAATGGTGGGTATCTGTGGGCATACAAACTGAAAAAGGCAGGTGGTGCAGTGTCAGTCTAGTCTGGTTACCAGAAGAGAGAAATAGCAGAGTAGAAAATTCACTGACAGACAGTGAACACTTATATTTGGATAGGTGAAGGAAAGGACAATGTGGAATGACTTATTGTGTGTATTGGAATTGGTGGTGTGAAACAGAATGTGGATGAATAATTGGGGAGGAACTCACACAAAATGCTCTGTAAACTTATACTCAAACCACAATAAAAAAAGTAAAGTTATACCCAGTTCTTGTACTTGCTGCTGCCCGGTAGGGACCTAGGTATGCTGCCTGCATGGATCTGAATATACAGGCTTCACCACAAATGGTCTACTACTAGAGTCACTAGAGTCTTTTTGAGATAAATAGATGAGAAAGAGATAGAGATAGAAATAGAGATGGTAGAGATGGTGATGGTAGAGATGGTGATGGTAGAGGTAGAGGGAGGGGGAGAGTGAGAGAGATTGTTGTTGTTAAGTGCTGGTGAATCGTAGGTGACTCATAGCGATCCTATGAACAAAAGTCCTCAACATTTGCATGACTTTCATCCTTTCTCCAGGTTCATAGGGTTTCCGGAGGCAAGCTAGAAATAGGTATGTTGTTTGTTGTTGTTGTTATGTGCCGTCGAGTCATTTTCGACTCATAGCGATCCTATGCACAACAGCCCTAAACCCTGCTTTATCCTGCGCCAACCGCACTGCCTCTGACACACCCTTCCCTAATACCCCAGTCACTGAATCAATCCATCTCATAGAGGGTCTTCCCCTCCTGCGCTGTCCCTCCACCCTCCCAAGCATGATGTCTCTCTCCAAGGACCCATCCCTCCTTGCAACGTGTCCAAAGTATGTCAGACGAAGCCCCAGAATCCTTGCCTCCAAGGAGTAGCTTGGTTTATAAATAGAGATAGAGATAGAGATATATAGATATAGATACCTATCACCTAATTGTATCATAATCCATTGTACCTCAAATTATTTTCATTATGAAACAGCTGTGATCTTTTAACCAGGCCTTTCTTCCCTAGCACTTCTGGGTGTTTGGTGTTTTTTTCCCCCCATCTGTTGATTAGTTTAAAAAACCTCAAAATATCTTCAAGTCCATTCCAACTCAAGTTGACGCATGTGTGGCAGGGAAGAAAGGCACTGCAAAGGAGTCAATGGCTGTAACTTTACAGAAAAGCACTCTGTGGTCTAAGAGTTAAATGCTTGGCTCCTAATGAAAGGTTGGGGTCTCAAGGCCTTGAAGTTGTGGGAGAAACACACCCTGCAAGTGGCCGTGATAGGTATTGTTGCAACTTAGGGACTGCGGAGAAGTTCCACCCTGTCATTGTCACATGGCTTCATTATTGTAACTGACTCTGTGGCACACAACAAACACCATCTTAATGAAGTAGATCACCGATTACTCCCTCTGCAGTGCTGCTTGGTGAATTTGGCCAATCGTCCTTCGGATAATAGACAAATAATTATGATCTGTGCACTTAGGGACTCCAGAGGATGACCGTGTGTGTGTGCGTGTGTGTGTACATAAATATATGTATGTAGGGAATACTGGTGGCTTAGTGAATAAGGAGTTTCACTGTCAATCCAAAGGTGACTAGTTCATATCATATCTTGGGAGAAAGGTGGCCAGTCTTCTGTGTGATTTGCAACCTGAGAACACTTGCCAGAGGTCAGCTATGAATTCCCAGCTGATGCCACATAACAACAACAAATATCATCTGAAAATTAGTTTATTAAAAAAAATTGATACATTTCATTATATCCAAATGAAACGTAATGGTTGACAAAGTAGCAGATGCTTCTTTTTTTTTTTTCATTTCTAGTTTTCTATTTCCAGAATCACTTATTGTTTTAGTATGCTTCAATTTCTTTTCCCTGTGCCACTGACTTTCTTTGCCTTGGAGAGGGTGAAGACAGGCTGCTCCTTGGAGGCAAGGATTCTGAAGCTTCATCTGAGATACTTGGGGCATGTTGCAAGGAGGGACTGGTTCTTGGAGAGGGACATCCTGTTTGGGAGAGTGGAGGGGCGGCGCAGGAAAAGAAGACCTTCGATGAGATGGATCGATTTTGTGAGTGGAGTGGTGGGAGTGAGTGTGTCAGAGACAGCGAGGTTGGCACAGATTATAGAGCAGGGTTTAGGTCTGTTGTGCATAGGGTTGCTGTGAGTCAGATGGCACATAACAACAACAAAAACCCAGAAGTGTTTGAATGTGTACGCAACATTTATCATATATGAAAGTAAGCGTACACTACAAAGCCTCGAAACGCTAAAGGCTTTTTGGATGTCCCAGCAGCAGAATACTGCTTATGCCCCTTTGACCCGTGAATGATTGTTCAGAAACATTGACTGAGGACCAGTGCACAGCTTTCAGAAAGAGTCACCTGACAGGTGGATAGATGCTGTCGTGAAATCAGATGCCCTTCTAGAAAATTCACTAAATCTACTCATGACATTTTTAGCCTGTTTAACATCAACAGGCAGAAAAATTCCACCAGCATTCCACTAGTCACGCTGCAATAAGGAAACATTTGTCGCGGGCACACACACACAGTCACATACTGAAGAGTCTCATACAGATGGAAATGTGTTTACTTTCCTGGAAAAACTGCATTTATGTGAGTAGCAGCCCTCCAGATTTGTTTTCTGTTAGCTCTGGGATACATTAACTTCTTTTGCCTAAGTTTACTGTATTGGAGACAGCCGTGCAAAGGAACTGGGCAAAGAAAAGAGATAAAATAAGCACATTAAGTCAAGCTGTCCCTGCTTCTCCTTTGATTCAGATTGCTGGAAGGCGCTGGAGGGGCTGGGGGAGCTGGAGCAGGGAACATTGCTGATGCACCTTCCTAAAGAATTTGGACTGAGCAGGGGTCCTGCTGGCTGAGAGCCCAGGCTCTGTGGGCAAGTAGGTTTATCAGCTTAAGACCTGAAGTACTTTCATAATCTCGCTTTGCATCAGGTTATACATATGAAACACGAGATTATTAATAGGATCTGTATAAAATTGTGTGATGAGTTTGTGAAGTGTTTATAAAAATTTCTCTCTCTCTTTACACAGACACACTTAACAGAGCTTAAAAAAAATCACTGCATTTATGTTGAGTGAACTAACTCAGTCCCACAAGGACAAGTATTGTATAAAACCATCGTTGTACAATGAGGATAAGGATGGGGGGTGGGGGGAAGCAGAGGCATGAGGAAGTGCAGGGCGAGGGGCGTTAATCATGGGGTTATACAATTTGATGGGTGGGGAGTAAGGGAAATTGGAAGAATCTGTCCTGGAAAACAATGTATTTGAATTTTGTAAATAAAGTAGTATACTAATAAAAAATAAAAATCACTAAAGCTGACTCAATGCTGACTAGTTGCAAACCTGT